TACRGGGCTCGATTCTCAGCACCACATAAAAATAAATGAATAAAAAAAAAACGTTCATTAACGTCTAAAAAAATTTAAGGAAAAAAAAACAGTGTACACTAAGGCATTCTATTTATATAAAGTTCCAAAGCAGACAAGCTGTACGGAGGGGAATAGAAGTCAGGATGTGGTTCCGCTTTGGTGGGRAGTGGTGTCTGAGATAAGGCCCCCAGGGCTGGCCGTGCTCTGCTTCTTGACCTGGGGGCTGGTCACACAGGTKCGTGCCCTTTGTGGAAACCCGTTGGGCCACTGTTCACGGAAGGTCTGCATTTTTCTGAATGTATTTTATGTCTTGATAAAAATGTACATTAGAAAAAGTTCGACATTTGCCTGCTTGGCCCTTCTCCAGTCGATGGTTTTTACCATTTTTGTGAACTCGTCAGACTGCTAAGTGACGTGAAATGGTGATCTTTCTCCTCCATGAATGAAGGCATCAGCTTCCTTCTTTTTTTTTTTTTCCTACAAGGAGATGCTAAAATTAATTCTGGACAGCCTATTTGTTTTCCTAAAATAGCTGCTGCCAGGAAAACAGGCTGCAGGATGCCAAGGAGTGTGTGTGCAAGTGTGTATGCATTAGTGTGAGCACGTGTGTGTGTGTGTGTGTGTGTGTGTGTGAGTGTACACGTGTGCTGGTGTGTGCACATTCCCTTCTTATACTGACAGCAATAAAAAGTGGCTGAAGATGTTCTGAAACTTCTGGTTCTGGAGAGAAACTGCATTAGTGTCCAGGGCAGACAGAACATTCAATACAAAAAATCAATGAAGGAGAGAAAATGGAGGTAGAGAAGGCGTGGGCTCTTGTCTTTGTTTGCTCCTGGCTTGCCTTAGGTGCCGCTGGGCAGATGAGAAAGGGCTCAGCAGGTCCCTTGGCTCATCCTCTGGGAGGCTGGGCTCGCCAGGCAGGTGGCACCGTGGCAGCTCCACTCACTCCTAGCAGACCTGCCAGCCCTTGGTATCTCAGGATCTGAGTGGCTTGTGCCACTATTGTCACATGACGAAGGCCCATTTTGGAGATCTCCTAAAGTGATGGCCTCAAAATGTCTGCTCAGGGGGCTGGGGTTGTGGCTCAGCGGTAGAGCGCTCGCCTCACACGTGCGAGGTCCTGGGTTCGATCCTCAGCACCACATAAAAATAAATAGAAATAAAGTTGTAAAAAAAATGTCTACTCTGCCTGCTGTTCCTCCTCCCTGGGAGATCACTCTGTCACTTAAATTAGGTCACCAAATATTTGCAGCTTTGAAAACTGCCAGGCAGCTTCATTCTAACTCCTGAACTGGTTTCCTGTCTCCCTAGGGTAGGGCTCTGCTCCTCTGTCCCATCTTTCAGTGCTCCGGGCAAGTCTGTCAGCAGCCACCCAACTGCCTCGGTAGCTGTTCCCTGTAGCTACCTCAGCTCACACCCCTGGGGAGCCAGTTCCGGCCAGGTGGACGGCGACTCTCCATAGGCTCCCTCCTCCAACAGCAGGAGCTGGGGCATCCTGAACCTCCTGGATACCAGTCCTGCTAAGCCCGTAGCTACGAGGCTCTGCACTCCTTCTGGCAACTCTGGGGATCCCTGGGAAGGGAGGAAACACATGGAGCATGGGTGCCACCAACCCCACTCCCATGTCCAGGTGGATGCCGCTAACCTACCCAGACATTCTTCCTCACTGAGTCTAGATGCAGCGCTCTGGCAAGCACCACCCATGCATAAAAATGGGAACTTGCCCGCGATCCCTGTTACTGGCAGTTGCCACAGGCCTGATACTCTCTGAGTGAATTTTGCAGCAGCAGAATAAGACCCCGTTCTCTGAGGGGGAACTGACCTGCATAAAAATCTTTGATGGAATCTCATCATTCAGTAAGAAGTCCAGGCRGGTGCCAGGTGAGTTAGGGGTGAGGTAAAGGACGGTCTTCTCATGAGTGTGAACCAAGTTGCTCCTGAGGGTCTGCATGGGGAGGCTCTCAGGGGAGGTTCCCACCAGGAACTGACCTGACCGGAAACGAGCCAGAGCAGACTGGTGGGGCAGGAGGAGTGTGGGGGCTGAGCCCTGGGGAAGGAGACACCTTTGAGGCCCATGTCAGGCCTCACCTTGGTGTTGCCACTGCCCCCAGGGAGAAGAATGAGTCAGATGGGAGAACCATCCACCGTTTTAAAACAGGTGCCACAGCCCTCCAAGCCGGAGGCCGAGGGCAGAGAGGGCCTGGGTGCCCGCAGGCAGAGGAGCCATCCAGCCCCAAGCTGTCCYGTCGTTCTCCCTTAGGGACCCGGAGCTTGCCGGAGAGGGCGAGGGCAGAGTGGGCAGGGGAGGCGAGGGTGGGCCCAGGGCAGGCCTGCGGGCTTCTTGGAGCACCTGCCCTGCCATGAGAGCACAGGTCCTGGCAGGTAGTTGTCACCGCTGCTTGGGCAACGATGGGGCAGTGACAACTGGGGTACAAGCAAATGGTTTCCAGAAAGAAAGGCAGCGCAGGACCAGGGCTGTGGGGGTGCTGTGCAGAGGTGTTAGGTTGGGGGGCCAATTTGAGTCCACATGAGTTCCTGGGAGAAAGGGAAAGTTCTGACAGTGAGCAATACCCTGGCTGGGACCCTCAGGGGGACCCAGGGGCTACTCGGGAGCACTGTGGAAGCCCCAGAAAGCCCACCCTCTGTGGAGGGGGCTGCACGCCTCCCCTCCCTCTTCCCGCGTTCCTCTCACACTGCAAACACAGCTCAGTGGATCCCAGGCTGGCTCCCTTCCTATCTCCCCGCTGACATGGGTCCAGGACCGAGCTGACGGGCAGCCAGGCAGGGGCTTCTCCAGTGGGCGTGACTCACTGGAAAGAGTGTCTCTGGGTTATTAAAAGAGGGGAAAGGAGGGACTGAAACATTCGAATTGAAACAAATTATATAGAAAGGAGACACACTCCATCTAATTCTGACACTGAATCTGCTTTTCCCAAATAAAGAGACCTAAAAAATGAGCTTTGAAGGGAACACAGAGCCAAGATGTTCCCAGGAAGGATTAAGTCGTCAAAACCATGCAAATGAAACTCGGTAAACAGGTTGATCAGCTGATCAGCATGAAAAGACAGTTGCCAGGCTTGGGGACACACCCCTGGAACCCCAGCCACTAGGGAGGCTGGGACAGGAGGACGGCAAATTCCTGGGTGGCCTGGGCAACTCTGCAAGAACCTGTCTCTCCGAATAAAATAAAGAGGGCTGGGATGTGCCAGAGGTAAAGYGCCTCTGGGTTGAATTCCCATGAACCGTTTCCCCCCCAAAAGGAGAAGACTATTTATCTGCTAAACTCACACATGCACGAGAAATAGGGTGTCTATCTCCTTGAACACGCTTCATCATGCTTGAGAAGGATGCCACCAGTGTCCCCTGTCAAGGGTGGGACCCCTAAGGGCCACCTGGGACTGTCTCTGCTCTGGGATCACGCACTCAGCTGGCTTGACGGTGGACTGGTATCTCACAGAGTGGATCTGAACTGTCCCCCAGGGGCCCACATTGGGAGGTGATGGATGCTTCAGGAGGTGGGGACTAGTGGAAGGGAGTCGGGTCATTGGTGGTGTGCCCTTGGAGGGGATATTGGTACTCTGTCCCTTTCTTCTTTCTGTTTCTGGTTTCCATGAACTGAGCAACTTTGCTCCACCTTGGACGCCCACCGTGACRTTCTGCTCCACCATAGGTCCAAAAGCAACGGCGCCAGCCAACCATGGATTGACACCTCTGAAGCTGTAAGCCCAAATAAACTTTTCCTCCTTAAAATTTGATTATCTCAGGTATTTTGTCACAGCAATGACAACCAAAGAGGTTAACACAAGAGGTTGAGATACAAAATGGAGCCTGGCAACTACTGCCCTCCCCCTCAACCCCTCAGCACCCCTCCTCYGGCTCCCCTCCCCTGGCCATGGCAAACATTGCTAATGGGGCCTCTTGACCAGACAGAAAACATTCACAGGCAGAGAGGACATAGGGAGGGGAAGAGTCGCTCTACAGAGCAATTTTAGAAGTCCTTGGCTAACAACAACAGATCTAGGAGCAGCCTCAGGATCTTCCTAAACCCAGTGCCCAGGAGGGTACTGTGTCCACTCTGCTCCCTGGATCAGACACAAGAGAGGAGTCCTATCTGTTCTTATAGGAATGAGGGAGGGGCCTTGGTGGATCAGGGCTCAAGTGAGGTTCTAACCCCCATCATTTACATGATCTCTGACAAGACATTGCATCTCTACTTCAGTTTCCTCCTCTGTAAAACAGGAATAATGAAACCAGTCCCTTAGTGTGCAGATACACTGAGAAAATGAAAAGAAAGTGCTTATTGTTGTGCTTTAGCACATCAGAGGGCTGGGGCTGGGGCTCAGTGGTAGAGTGCTCGCCTGGCATGCACAGGCACTGGGTTCAATCCTCAGCACCACCTAAATGTAAAATAAAGATACTGTGCCACCTAAAACTTAAGAACAAATATTAAAAAAATAAAGCCCATTAGAGGGCTCACTATTGTAATTTCTATTGAAATCGATACAAACTTCAGGTGAGTTTGGAAACTCTAAGAAACAGTATCAATGCTATGAAACCTCGACACATCTAAATCCTTTTTCATTTGTCCAGAAAGTTGAGGATTTTATATCTAATCTAGTAAAATATAAATGAGAATGACCTGGTCTGATTTAGGTACACTAAAAAATAAAGTTTTTAAGGTCAGTGTAGTATGGTACTTTTCCTGAGCAAAAGTACCTTTTGGGTCAGGCTATTTCTGGACGCGGGGTTCCCAGAAGCCAGGATTATCTCATATTATAACACCTACGCACTATTTACTTTTCCAAGTTGTGCAGAGGTTTGAAGGCTTCCTGTGACCTTGGGCCCCATAAGGAAAACTGCATCCTACGCCCCCTGGATGATGCCACAGAAGTCACATCACTGATTCGCCTCCTGTGACCCCAGGAACAGCAACACCACCGGGTCTGCACACTCCATCAACCAACACTAAGCCGTGTCACCTGTTGAAAAACGTCAGCATGGTCTCGTGGATGGGGATGGCCTGGATCTTGCTGTTGAGCTGCAGGTAGGCCCACATGAGTAAAGTTTTCAGAAGATGAAACTCGCTGAAGGTGAACAACCTGGTCAAGGGAAAAGACCAGGGAGAAGTTTCAGGAACAGGAACCATTGCACCATTTGTAAGAAGACAAAGTCAAAAGTGAGTTTAGGAAGGAGACTGAACGTGGCCCAGAGTCAGGTGGACTCTGACAGAAGTGGACCACTGGCTCAGGGCGGCTCCTCTGGTGATGTGCAGAGGGTGGGAGGGAGGTGGGGTGGGGGTCGGGGCTGGAACCTCAGCAGCCTGATGCTGGGCCCGGTGCTTCCCCACCCGCCACCCACTGTGCTGCTGCAAATCAGTGCAGTCATCTGAGGAGCTCCTAAGAAGTGCCAGGAGGCTCTAAAGAGGTTTTCTACAGGTTTTATTTATTTATTTAGGATGCTTGCAAGGCAAGTGCTCTGCCACCGAGCCATACCCCCAGCCCTCCATGGATTTTAAAATTGAATTCTGACCACAAACCTGCAAAGTTGGGGCTATAGTCCTTACTTTTACAGATGTGGAAATGGAGATGGATCCTAAGTCTATTCAAAATTTTAATGTGTTATTTTCATCATGGATTTTTTTGCATTGGTTTTAAAATATTGCACAAAAATATACTTTATCATCACTGAGTGTTTTTGGTAATTTTTTGGGTTTTTTTCTTTTTGCATCCAATTGAGTGCCTCATTGACCCTTCCCAAATCCTGGCCCTGATTGAAGGCTGAACGTGAGCAACTCATTCAAGGCCACACAGAACTGGGCCTGGGGCAGGAAACTCTTGGATGTTACCAAACTGCAGTTGCCATTTCCTCAGCTGTGGAAGAGCAACAGCAGCAGCTGAAGACAGGAGGTGGTGACACTCCGTATGAGTTTCCCTTTGCTGCTGTAACAAACAGTCACAAACCAAGTGGCTTAAAACAACACACATTTATTTTCTTATCATTCTGGAAGTCAGAAGTACAAAACAGATCTCACTGGGCTCAGGTCAAGGTGTGAGCAGGGATGGCTTTTTCTGAGGGTTCTTGGGAGAGTTGTGTCCTGGCAAATCTCAGCACCCTTGGCTTGTGGCCCATTCCCTGGTCTTCAAGCCAGCAATATAGCATCTTCCAGTCTTCCTTTGATTCTAACCCTTTAGCCTCCATCTGTATACTTAAAGGATGCTTGAGATGATGTTGGGCCCACCCRGAGAATCCAGGGTAAGCTCAGTTTGAAGTCAACCTTCATTTCATCTATGACTTTAAATCCTCTTTGCCATAAAACCTATGCAGGTTCTTGAGATTAGGCCGTGGACATCTTTGGGACCATTATTCCACTGACCATGTATCAACAAAGTGCTTAGCACAGTGACTGGCACATCACCAGGTACTCGGTGAATGGCAGCTGGGTACTCAGTGAATGGCAGCACTAGATCACAAATGGCAGAGCTGGAGCCCAGGCTGCACCTGCAGCAGCAGGAGGCCTGTCCTCAATGACCCTTGATGCCAAAGAGCCGCTGTTGCTCTCCGTCAGTCAGCTCTTAAGCAAGGGCAAACAGTGCCTCGGGAAGCCTCTGCTGACTACATTTTCTAGGTAGTCATTTCCATGGTTCTTAAACTCACTGATATTTTCAGTTTCTGATCACAGACATTCCGTGAAATATATCACAGTCTCTTCATTCACCACTTTGAGGGGTCATGGTGGGTGGAACCCACTCTAAAGGGCAATAGAAAGTCACCCACCCACCTCTCATGCTATCTCTGGACAGAATAGGGCTGTATTGTTCCCCTCATTTGGTTTTCAGATCACCCACAAATGCATGGACTTTGAGGCTGGCTGGACAGGATCAAGCTGGTCACTGATGGAGGGACCAGGAGTAAAGAGGCAGCAAAGGGATCCCACACAGAGCCACTTGGTGCAAAGTCCCCAACAAGAACTTTGTGRTGGGGTCAGAAGCGGTGTGACTTTCAGAGCAGACTCCCACTTGAGGCTCTGAAGCCCAGGAGTCCTTTGACATCTTACCAAAGAGGGGCTGGCAGCAACGGGGGAGCAAAGGGGGCTCTGGGGCTCGGGATTCTGGTTCTGTTCACGAAGGGCAGTTACTGAAGTCAAGTGCTCTCCTTAGGCCAGCACGGAACCCAGCCCTATCAGCTCTGCAGTGAGCAACCACGTCGAGGGCATTCAGACACATTTCACTCACCCAAGAGCTCTGATGGCCTCAACCCATGGACCCTCCGAGCCTCCACACAGGCCAACGACCAGCTGAGCGTGGTGCTCATGGGGGCTCTTCAAACTAACTGGTGTCTGTTCTTCAGGAGGAAAAAAATTCCTTTTCACAAGACACTGTCTTCTAATTTTATTTCTTAAGAAAATTGTATCTAAACAACAAAAGCCCCCTTCTGCGTATGTACCATGGAGAAAGTCAACTGCTTGGGAACAAAGAGGAACAAGGAGACCCTCACGGCATGGTCTGCCCGGGCAAGAAAGAGAACTCAAAAGGCCTTCAGGAGAGTAAGAGAAGACGGCTGTGTGCTCCTTCCCTCCACCCTTCACAAGGAAGGAGAAGAATGCTAACGAGATGCAATCACAGGGAGAGAGCACAAGGCAGGGTGAGTGTGCACCCCATGTCACTGTCCCTGTCACTGTCCCTGAGATGTCGGTCTGAAATGTCAACCTCCACAGACATCATGCAAGATTCTTGGGTGCACATGACCGTAATAAGAGCTTAATCACATGGATCGTATCCACACAAGCTCCTAACTGTGGTTTAATTGTCTCCTGTGTCTGGAAGGGACACAGGTGACCTGCATTATCAGTGGTGTTTTATTTCTTAACTCATGACGAAATGTTACTCTTTGGTCATTTTGGGAGGTAGCTGCAATTGTTTTGTATAATCCGCCTACCTTTGTAAAGTATTTTTTTTTTAACAACAACAAAATACATTGATTTAGTCAACTGGACTGGACAAGAATAATGTCAAGGAGGAAAAGTTATTTGGGGCACACAGTTTCCAAGGTCTCAGTCCCTGGATGACTAGCTCCATTGCTCTGGGCCCAACGTGAGGCAGAACACCTTGGTGGAAGGGTGTGGTGGAGGAAATCAGCTCAGGACATGGCATTAGGAAGCAGAGAGAACTCTGCATCCTAGGGACCAAATATAAAACCCAAAGGCACACCCCAGTGACATATCTTCTCCAGCCTCATCCCTACAGCTGCCTATAGCTACCACCTAGTTAATCCACTCAAGTGGGTTAATGCACTGATTAGGTGAAGGCTCACAACCAAATCATTTCATTTCTGAACCTTCCTGCATTGTCTTAGACATGAACTTTTGGGGACACCTCATATTCATACCATAACAAAGATCAATATACTTGTTGACTCGACTGTCCATAAGGACAAACAAGGCCTCATGCACACACATCAGCTGACTGCTAATGACCACAGCTGTGAGACCACTCTGACCTGGGTTCAAATCCCAGTTCTCCTGCAGCATAGGGGGAGATTTGGCTGACCTCTTCATTTTCTGGAGTCCGGTTCCCCAAGTGAGAAATGCAGAAGGYAGCACTCCCCCATCGGGCTGCTGTGGGAACGAGTCGAGGGCATGACCCATGCAGAGCTGCATTGTACACGTGCTCCCCAGCCGGGTACTGTTATTGTTTACCAGAGAAGCAGCGGCTTCAGGGACTACTACATTAGACGGGGACACGTTGGTGTCAAGACGCTGTGGGAACCCTGCTCCACCCCATCCTGCAGGCATGTCAGGGACCCTGGGACCTGAGACTCTGTGGCCATAGATAGACAGGAAGCTGGGAGAACTGGAAACAGAGGGGTGTAGGGTCCCCTGTTGCAAGTAGCTTTTTGTGGAGATGGTACTAGAAGGTCCTCTGAAGTCCCCATCCTCCCAGGTCAACAAGGACATTGGCTTCCAGGAAAACAGAACTTGGATGAAGTTTTAATAAACGAGGGTTACAAGAACAAGGTGACCTAGTGGTGACCTCTAAGGAGAAAATCAATTGAAAACTAAGTGCCTAAGCAAATAAATTAAAACCCGAGGCCCAGGAGGTCAGGAAAACCGTGGATATTTGACCCCAGGCTGTTTACAAATGGAAAGTAAGACTCCAAAAAGAGATGAAGTCAAGGGCCTTCAGACGGAAAGGCCCAGGAGTCACAGCATCTGCTAAGAAATGGATGTTGTTCCAAACACCCGCAACCAAGCAGGGGGTCGGTGACAGCGGGCGGCTGAGGGACAGCTGAGTGGGGCCAGGGGTGCCCCGTCCTTGACCTCAGGTTTGGCATTTGCACACTTCCTGCTCTGGGGCAGGAGACTTCTCGGGTCACCCAGRGTCCTGCTGAGCTCTTCCTGGTGCTAGGCCACCTCTGCCTCCTTAGCGGGGAGCAGAGGTTCAGGGTCAGGGCAGGACTGGACTCTGGAGCCAGGGGAGGCCTTGTCCAGCCCTTCATTAGCCCTCCCACCTCAGGGATAGCAGTTTTACCTGCCAGGTGGGGTGTGGGGATGGAGAGGGACGTATTCCTAKCACAGCGCACACGGGAAAGCGCTCCCTAACAGGCTCACTCTTAGGTGCAGGCCGTGGTACAGAATCCACCAGCCAGCTCCCTGGACCTCGGCAGGTCCCCTGAGGACCCCAGGCCTGGCTATGTTCCTGGCAGGTACCCCTCTTCTTGCACCCCCTGCCTCCACCCACAAGCTGCAAACAGCAGACCCCTGGAAAACAGCGCCCATGCTGGGGTGAGTCTGGTCACCCTCCCCTGCCCACTTGGGCMCGTGGGCCCATGACGTGACTGAGGCCATGCAAGGCTCTTGCCTCCTTGAGCCGCACAGCCCTGAACTGTCCATGCAAGTGCCTCCTGCGGAGGGCTGGGGACGCGGGCGGCTGGGTCCCACTCAGTCTGCCCAGGCTGGCGAGTCTAGACACYGGATGCGTCATGCTCCTGACCTCTTTTCCTGCCCAGTGTGCGTCTTGCCAGGCCTGTGCCATCACCGACGTGCTGACTGTGGTCAGACAGCTTTCCTCATTTTTGGCTAAATGCTTCCAGGGTAGGACAGCTCAGTCTTTCCAAGGGAGGGACCGTGTTATGAAAAGTCTAAGGGATGCCAGGTTTATCTGTTCTTCAATAATTTCAAGACCTTTTCTCCACTGGAGGGTGCGGTGGAGGGTGGGGGACACATGAGTGGGGTACATCAGTGCCCTGGGGGCTGCTCGGGGGCCAGGCTCCTGGGGTCTTCTCTGACGACGTGGTCTCCCTCAACACCAGGACTCTGTCACGTGAGGGGCCCTGCAGGCCCCTGTGTACTCCAAATCCCTGGGATGGGCTGATGATCTAGATCTAATTTCTAAAAGTGGGACATTTTCTACCACATAAATGCTAGGAAACACTTATTTTTTAACATACCACTAAGATTTTGAGTAGACTTTAGTTTTCACTTTTGAAATTTACCCAAAGGGAGCACAACCCTGGACATTTGGCAATGAGTACCAAGGAGCTTTTCAAACGAGCCCCAGAGAGACTTGACGACTAAATGCAAGATGTGATCCTAAACTGAATCCTGCATTGGAGTGGGAAACACAATCACGGACAGTGTCGGTCAAGGGGTCTAAGTATCACATCCATGATAAATTTCTTGATGTTGATAATTACCCTGGGGTTATATTAAGCAAATTCTTTTTGTGGGGGAAATAAACACTGAAGCATTTGGGATAAAGAAGCATAATATATGCAACTTATCCCCAAGTAGTTCAGAAAAAATATGTGGACCTGTGGATATGCACAGAGAAGCAAAGGAGAAGGCAAGCAAGGCAGAAACTGACCCATAGGGGACTCAGGGTAAAGCGTCTACAAATTGTCCCCACTTTACAATGGTCTGATTTATAAGTTTTCAGCTTTACTAGGGTGGGAAAGTTATGTGCATCAGTAGAAATGATACTTTGAATTTTAATCTTTCTCCAGGCCCGGGATATGTCCTTTTTCCTGCTGTTGGGCAGGGGCAGGGCCAGCGCCTCATCACAGCTCCCAGCCAGCTGGCGCCCTCTAGTGGGCGTGTTGCCTGGCTGTGACGCTCGGGAGGCGAGGTGCATCCCGTGCATTTTCAGCTTATGCTGGGTTTACTGGATGCAAGGCCATTGCAAGTTGAGGAGCATCTTAGAGATATTCTTTTTTTTTTTTTTTTT